TAAATGTATGATAGATGTATGCAGAAAGATAAGAGGGCGGTGTGATGGAATTATATGATGGAGATGTGATTGATGTACATTATATAATGGGGGGTAATGGAGGTATGATAAGGACATGGTTGACGTATGATGAGCTGAAGTTTGGTGGGGTATCATTTGGCTAAACATTTTCTCTCTTTGGACTTAGCAACAATCTGAAACTTTTAACATTAATTATCGGAAGATGAACCATTTGTGGATGTTTTTCTTACAGCACATCAGTTCCAAGGTTTGGTATTTGGATATTTGGGTGACTCCACTCAAACAGCTAAGCACACACATGACATACATGCACTGGAGCGGTTTACCCACCATAAAGATCTGTACTTCTGTGTCTTCATTCACGTCATCTCAGACAAAGCTCTGTAGAAGTGTGCCTCCACCGCGGCCTCCTCCCCGCCTCAGCTGCCACTCCGGCCTTTCTGCTTACTCTGCACTCCTCCGACCTCTTCCTGCACATCTCTGGCTGTCTATTAGCTGTGATGTGTTTTATGGGTCAACGGGGCCAGAAATCTCATGCCGAAGAGCCGAGCAGAAGTTTACAGATAATCATCAGGCTGAACTGACTCTACAGATAGCAAAATGCGAACAGCAAGTCATGAGGACAAAGAGTAGCAGGGTTTATAGACGCATGGCGACAATTATTACTACATTCTTCTCTCCAGACAATTTCTACCAGGGGCCACATCCAGCTGATTCCATTAGGCACCCCACGGCTTATTGGCTCATTAGATCCTCTGCCATGAGGGATGGGGGGAAGAAATGCAGGGGTCAAATGACCATTGCATCTCCATCAGGAACAAGTTAAGAATGAGGTCAAGTGCTCACTGAGGATTCTCATTGATGCCACTAGTGGTACTTCTAAAAATATGTAGGCCACCATTTTTGAGGAACTAAAACACACTTTTTTTGACCAGCTGCCATCTTCTTATCTCTGAACAGGGAGAACGCTGTGATACTTTGTCTAAAGACTGTTAAGGAAGATCTCTGTGTAGCTCTGCCCTTAAATAAACCACCTACCATAATGTCAAAATCAACCATTTCTGTGCAGTGAGGACCCTTCCTGCTTATGGAGATCCCATGCCTCTAACAGTTATACACACTGGAGAAATGCAAAGCAGTAGGAGCTGTGTGCATCCACTCCTGCTCCTTGGTTGGTACCAAGAGAACTCAAGTTAGGACAGGGATAACAGATACAGCCTAATATTATCAAGCAATGTAAACTGCATACAGCTATTTCGTGCTGGTTGACTATACTCATTGCAGTACATGAAACCCATGGCTTCTACGGAGTGGGGCTTGATGACAGACATAACGGCACACTTGGCCATTTCACTTGTCTGGTTGCACTTTGGTTGTACCTAAGCACATTTATAAACTCTGCTCTAATTGCTTGTATTCCTCCTTTACATTTCTGTGATCTCATGCGCACTGAGATGTACATAATACATCAGAGTTTTCATCAGATAAAACTAACTACTTTGTCTTTTCATCCTCAGCTGTTCTGGAGAAACCTTTAGAGAAGAAATCAGGACGGAATTATGGTCCTCCGGGCACCAGGAGGCTCATCTACTTCATAGACGATATGAACATGCCAGAGGTGGACACGTATGGCACGGTGCAGCCACACACACTCATCCGTCAACACATGGACTATGGACACTGGTAGGGCCCATTCACTCTGCTGTGCACTTTCATACACTATTTGGCTGAACGTTTGTGGACACCATACCATCAATACGCGCTTGGCGAACATCCTATTTCATAACCATGGCCATTCATATGTTGGACGAGAAGACCTCTCTCACAATCAGCATTCAAATTGATTCCAAAGGAGTTCAGTAGGGTTGAGTTCAGGGCTCTATGTGGAACACTCGAGTTCCTTCGCACCAAACTGGTCACACCAGGTCTTTATGGAGCTGGCTTTGTACACAGTCATGCTGGAAAAGAGCAGAGCCTTCCCCAAACTGGTACCACAAGGATAGAAAAGCTCAATTGTGTAAAATGTCTTTGTATAATGTAATATAAGCAGAACCTTGTTCACTAGAATCACCTGAACTTAGACATGGGGGGGTTACTTGTGGGCTTATAGTGAATGTGTATTTAGGATCTTTATTGGGTGTTTTTGGTGTTTTTGCTGCAGTGTGGACAATCATTTGGCTTAGCTTTATTGTTATGTCTGCAGATTTTAGTCCTCTTTGTAGACATAAGTCGACTTTTGTTTTGTTTTGAAGGTACGATCGGACCAAGCTGACCATGAAAGAGATCATGAATGTGCAATATGTCTCTTGTATGAATCCTACCGCTGGCAGCTTCACCATCAACCCCCGTCTACAGGTGAGTGAGCGCACCAAGCTGGATCTCAGATGTCATGGTGTAAACGTTTATAAATCATTAGGGTCCATCATCTCACCCACTTCACAGTCACTTCAGCAATGAAAATTCGATAATGCAACTTCTAGATTCTGAGTGGTGTCATTGAAACTCTTCAATGGCGCCTCACATGGTCAACTGTACTGAAGAGTCTTTTATGCTTTTTATTGTTTAAACACTTTTATCTCAGACAGTGGCCATAAAGGTTTTTTTCCTACACAGAGACATTTCAGTGTGTTTGCCTTGTCCTTCCCTGGCATGGATGCCCTGTCCACCATCTACAGCACCATCCTGACTCAGCATCTGAAAGTGGGCAACTTCCCAACTCCTCTCCAGAAGACCACCCAGCAACTCATCAACCTGGCCCTGTCGCTTCATCAGAAGATCACCTCCACTTTTCTGCCCACCGCTATCAAATTCCACTACATCTTCAACCTCCGTGACCTCTCCAACATTTTCCAGGTAAGCAGTGATATCAGCTCCTCCCAAAAATGGTCTGCCTTTCCTTTCTGTGACCTCCTGGTCAAATATGCCTTTAACTTGGAGGGGCTGTGAGACTGACTGCAGACTCTGTTAAAACTACCCCCTACCCCTATCTAATGATGCAGCCACTAAACATGATATACTGTACATGCTGCAAGTCCTGATTGGCCATTGCCAAATGTCAGTCCGCCAGCACATGTTGCGTTTGGTGAGGGCTGCTTCACATTACAGGAGGGAGAGGAAGCTTTGAAAGAGTCTGCGAGTCCGGTGCCCGGAGGCTCTATAGGGTTCCTGGGCAACTAGACAGCTATTATATAGCAAAGAGGAGGAATGAGAGAAGAGATCACAGATGACTGAACTGATCATGAAAGAGACTTGTTAGCAGAATGTAATAGAGAATCTGGGTAAATGCAATCAGTGCTCCTTGCAGGATGGTGTGCATCTGTGTGACCACAGAGGCTGCAGGATGCCAATGTTGGCTCTGCATGGTGGACACTTCCGTGACCGGCCTTGTGTCTTCATGCATTTACAAAATGTATAACACATCTACTTGTCACAGTCCCCTAAATGGCCTCCTCCCATTCACTGACACGGCACCTCAACAGATCCAGAGACGCTTGTTTTTCCGCATTTTGTGAGTTGTCGGTTTTATGCATATTCACATCTCACAAAGCAGGGACATTCTCATCTCATTCTTCATTAGCAACACTAATTGAGGCTCTGCTTTTAGCCCGTGTGGTAATGAGACAATTAGCATAGGCCTATTTGTAATGAAGGGAGCTGTCAACCTGTTTTGACAAGGAGAACCGTGTCAGGCCTTGCAGCCACCGCCAAGCTTCCTGCAGGAGACATTAATACGGCAAGGTGGTGTGATAGAGACAGCGGCCCAAGACAACTGATCGCAGATGGGGGAGCAGACTGCAATCTGTTGGTAATCAGCTCTGTGAACAATGATGTGCAAACGCACTAAATCAACAGCACAGCTCAGCACCAGACAAAAAAAGACAACTTTCTGCTATAATGTATGGCGCTTCTTTCACCAGGTAATTGAGTTTTGGAAGTGTGGGGTTTGTTAAAGCTCTGTCTGAAATCCAGAAGACAACCACTTAATCTGGATTCCCAGTGTCCCTCGATGATTCTAAAGGGATACTGGGCAGAGCTGTGTGCAAGAGTCTTTAAAGCGTATCAAAACCCCAAATCAGACTGTATAACCATACTGGCGAGACGAAAACCCCCTACCGAATAAGTGCCTAGCACTGCAAAGGGTATTCACAGGCCTCATTCCATCACATATCTGAAAAATAAGATAATTATTCCTCATTTTAGGACAGTGGGAGAAGCTTTGCAAATCATTCCTTTACATTCTGGGTGCACATCCAGAACTGCTGCTGTATAGTGCAAATATAGCCCAATACTATAGATCCATTTATTCCAAACTACAAACGGCTGTTTCAGGCTTCTTGATCTTCATCAGTGCAGTTTATGAAAACCATGGCTTCTATGCAGTAGGGCTTGGGACCCAACAAGATAGTATAACCATACAGGTTATGGTAAGAAGGGATTAAAAGAGTCAACAAGCCCTCCAACCACATCAGTGCTTGGTAGCCATGGCTTCTATAGAGTAGGACTTGGGACCCAACGAGACAGTATAACCATACAGGATTTGGTGGGAAGAGAGGAATCAACAAGCCCTACAACCATATCAGTGCTTGGGAAAAATGGCTTCTATAGAGTAGGGCTTGGGACCCAATGAGACAGTATAACCATACAGGTTATGATGAGAAGGGACTGAAAGAATGAACAAGCCCTCCAACCATATCAATGCTTGTGAATAATGGCTTCTATAGAGTAGGGCTTGGCACCCAACGCGAAGGTATAACCATACAGGTTATGGTGAGAAGGGACTAAAGGAATCAACAAACCCCCCAATCGAATCAATGTGTAGCACAGTAAGAACGTCTTAGAACAGAAGGTACTATGTCTCTCTCCTAAACCAAGAATGTTATATATATTACAGCACATTGCAATCTGACTGTACAATCTCCTTTATATCTACTAACTCCTATGTAGTTCAAGGGCCTGTGGGATTGATTTAGGTCCTTGTATTACATAATCCAAAGAAGATGATACAGTAATTGTAAAGTCAGATTGTAGCATGTATGGTGAGCTGCAGATGTGATGACTTCATTAGTTTAGGTTATTTGGGCTTTTATCAGCACTTATATACTCAATAAACACATTCCATGAACCCTGGTTAAGTGTCTAGACACAGCCATAGAAGGTCTAAGAAGAGCATTCTGGGAAATGACATTAATAGTCTGCTGCAGGCATTTCCTCAGTCCCTGTGATCCCTCAGCTCAGTTAGTGTTCTAGCAGGGGCCTGATCTATGTGCAGCTGTGATGGGTCTTATCAGGTGCTAAATAGCCAACAAAAAAATCAGAGTCTTTATAAATCACAACCGTCATCTGCACAGATATACAATATATATTTTTTTCACTTTGGTTGAAACAAATTGCCCCGAGCAGCTTTATAAAGAGGCCAAACTGCCAGAAACATCATTACTCCACCATCATTACTCCATTACTTACCGACACCAATCACAAACGTGAAACACCAAGTGTCACCGCCGATTGTCCTTGGCTAAGGATCTCTGTCATTGACCTGTTTTACC